GTAACCAAAAACATTTGATATCGCGCCCGACGTGGTTCTCCCCACGCCTAGCGTGATTCATCTAGAGGCTTCCATTCCTAATCTCACCTGGGTTGACCAACCTCGAGCCCGTCATGATTGAACAATGGAGTTCCCTGATGAACGCACGCTTGACGCCAAGAACTGCGCCCAGCGTGAACTTAAACAACAACCCTCACAACTTCGAAAATTTCAACCAAAAATCTAAAAATCAGCCAACTCAAACACATGCAATCCATGAAATGAAATACATTTACTTCATACAACTCAAAAACAAGCTTAATTTCAACAAGCAATCATCAAATGCATCAAAATCATCAAATTCCCAATTTTCCCGAAATCCCGAAAATGAGAAATTCTTCAAATTAATCAATGATTCTCAACATTCTTACTCCAAATGAGTTCCTAAACTCACATACAACCAATAAGTTTACAATCTAACTTCCTTCACCTGAAGATTGACTCAAAACGGCCAAGAAAAAGAAGAAGAAGAAGATTTTCCTCCGAGTTCAACCCACAAGCTTTCAATTCTCCAGTACAAGCTTCTCCGCCTGAATTTCAAGAAAGAAAGAAGGAATTAATGATCTAGGGGAGAAGAAGAATCAACTAGAGAAGTTTGGGAGAGAAAGGAGCTCACGGACCAGAGTCCTTCTCTCTAAAACCTCTTTCTAGGTTTCTTTGAGAATGGGCTTATGAGGCTCTGTTCTTAGAGAAAGCCTTAAATACTTTTTTCTCTAGCATTCACTAACCTTGAACCAACCTACTACGTCACAAAGACTCTCTACCTCAATGATGTTGGGTGTGGAGAATGGCGTTAGGTGTAGGTTCTTAAATGAAAAACTTGATGTTTTAATTATGAAGTGTTGAACATGTGTTACTAGATTGGATTGCTCACATGATATAAGTTTAATATCTCATTATGAGTATATGGTGTTGTAGTGCTCTGAGAGTCCACTTGTTAAAAAATCCTTCTTGAAAAGTTGACTCTTGAAATAGATTGTTGAGTCTCATCTATGACCTTAGTTGATGCCGTTTAGGGTTAGGTCGAGTGTTACATATATAAAGCGATCAGTAAAAAATAATATAGGGGTCAAGTTGAGTTATACTGATTATTAAATGACCAATGTAGATTTGTATAGGGGAAAGGTCAAGGCATATGTATACAAAGTCATCAAATTGGGTCAAGTATAAGATTGGGGGCCATAATACCTAACTAAATACTCAAAAGGGCATAACATTTAGGGGATAGTTAGCAGACTAATCTCATATTAGGCTTAGTTATGCATGTTAAAGTCATGACAAACTCATACCCAAGTTATCTTACCCTGACATGAATACTGGACTTTTTTAGTTTAAGTGACAAAATCTGAGAAACTATATCTTAATTCGCTATTAATCTAGTAAGTCCAAATGTGTGAGATATCTTAATTAGTTGAAAATGTGTGACGATACATAATTGTGTTATACATATGATGTATTGATATTTTATATTGTTCATATGCTATGTTGAAGAGTTGACATTACTGTGTTGTGCATATGATGGGCAAAATTTTACCTTAATATTAATGTTGTTGTGCAAGAATGATTTTTTTATATTTTATTTCTATAATATTTTTAAAATTTTATATTTTTAATCTTTTATAATTTACACATTATTGTAAATTTATGTACAAATTTTGCATAATTTTTTTGTACGTTAATGTTATAAGACATAGTAAGATAAAATTATTAATTTTTATGATAAACTATTTTAATATTATTAATTTTAATTTGATAATAATTATTTGATTGTTTAATGATTATTTTATTTTAATTAAATTATACTTCTTTTTATCATTTTATAATTATCAATCTATGATTTTGGTTTTTTTTTATAATTATACAATTTTGTCTTCTCAATTTTTAAAACTACATAATTTTCATATCTTTTGTCAATTAAATCATGACGTAACATTAATATTAAGATAGATTAATGTCGTGTCATTATTTCTAAAGTCTAACCAAACTATAAACATTTAAGTAAATTGTATATTTATTTTTAAAATACAACAAATTGATAATTTAAAAGTAAGAAATTAAAAGTAATAAATTATTGTTCATAAAATATTAAAAATTAAAAATAATTATAATTACCTTATTTGTAAAACAAAATAACTATATTATTTATTTAATTTATACTAAATAATCTGATTATTTAATTTAAAACATTCTTTGATGCTTTTATTATTTTAATTAATATACTTTATTTTTTTAATTATGTCGATACTAAACTGACAAAAAGATAATAAGACTAAAAATGCTTTACAAATGTCGAAGATTCAAGAATATAATAAAATAATTTATTAAGACAAAAACTACATAAAAATTATAGTAGCACGGATTTAAAACACATTCAAATTCTTTATCAATTATTATAAGTAATTAAATACTATTACATAAAGTGAAAGATATTTTAGTTTTCAATATAATAATATTTCATATCCATGGTCATTAATCTCATTACGTCAAGTAAATAGTTCTTAGTTTTCGGGGATACGTTGGTTAAAAATGTTCATTAATCTCTGTACACTAATCATAAGTATATAAATATCAATAGATACGTAATAGGAATGGAAAAACTTAATTTCAGTTATTTAGACGAGATTGATGTTATTTTTTTAATTAAAACTGATTATTTATTTTAATGATATGTTTAAATATATATTAATAAAATTTATATTAAATAAAAATGTGTATTATTAAAATAAATTTCTAATTTTAATTGATTAACAACACTAACTAACCGTAGTAAGAAATAATATTTAATTTGTATAAGTAATTAGTTAATTAATTTTGTGCAATGATAGTTTTTAATCTGGTTCATTATATATATACCTCCTTTTTTTTATAAGTACACTTTTTTTTAAAAAAATAATTAAAATTTTAAAATATTTTAATATTTTAATTTTACACCCATAATATTTAATTTAATACTCTTTTTTCACACTTCTTTCTTTCTTTTTTCAATTTTTACATGTACTCCCTTACCTTTCCTTCACCCCCACTTATTTTGGTAAGTGGTTTTAATTCTTTTAATTTTACATAGTCTCTTCCCCTCTCCTTTTCAATTTTCTTACTATTATCTCCTCTCTCCCCGCTTTTAGTTTTCACACATGCAAAACGTAAAACTAGTTTTCAATAATATTATAGGGGTGTGTGTGGTTTTCTCGACAATGTTGATTGTGTTATTTTACATATTGTTCCGGAAAGTACTTTCCAAAAGTATGTAAAAATTACAATAGAAAGATCTTTCTAGAACATTAATTTCACTATCTCGCACAGTACTCTAGAATAGTAAAAATATTTTTTTTCATAACACTAAACTTAATATTAAGGTTTTTGGAAAGGTGAAAGGAGAGGAAGTGTTGAAAGAAAAAAAATGTGTCTAGTTCGATAAAAACTGTCGAAAAAGTCACATATACCTACAATGTTGTCACGTACTAGTTCTATGGTCTAGGTACATATGAAAAAGTGAAAAAGGTGAAAGAAGAATAGAATAATGTAAAAATTAAAAGAGTTAAAATTACCTACTAAAATAAATGAGAAATTGGAAAAAGACAAGATAATGCATGTGAAAACTGAAAGAGAAAAAAAAGTGTATGAAAAAAAAATAACAAATTAAAAGTTAGAAATGTAAAATTAGAAAAATTAAAAAATAACTATAAATATTTTATAATTTTTTTTTAAAAAATAAAAGAGATATACTTATAATAAAAAATAAAAAAAAAGGAAGTGTATATATCATGAGCTTTTTAATCTTTAGGAGGTGTATGATATGACATTTTAAGGCCATGCGTGACAAGTCTTGCTCCAATGGACTTGGATCACTTGGATAACGGGCCCAAGTCAGCTATCAACATCTAAAGTCTGAACTGTATCACAAGGAAAGTGAACAGGTTTTTTTAATTTCATGGGCTTATTGTTCAAAATTGTATCAAGATTTACGAATTGAACCTCAGTAAGCGACTTGCATCTATAATAGATTGGGTTGGGCTATTAAGCCATATGACAAATGCAATATTTGATTACTGCCGAAAATCTGAGAGGAAAGTTTGAAATATATTTTTTAATGCATTCTTTATTATTAATTTATTTTTTAGAGATAAAAAATCACACTCTATAAAAAAAGTGACATGTTTTTGAAGTAATCAAATATCAGTGATATTCTTTGTAAAAAAGTGACATGCTTAAAATCATTCTTATCACACCACTGATAGTTGGAAAGAATAACTGAAAGCTGAGTGCGAGGACACGGTGAATAACACTTTGGAAAAGGAAAAGGAAAAGGTAAAATCACAAAGCAAAGTTGGTTAATTGATAATTGGAAAACAAAAATAACACAATAAAGCAGAGGGGATTGGACTGATTAGTCGTTGTCAAATTGTTCCTTTCTTGACAAGGTCCTCTAACTACATCATTCTGTCTAGTATGCAGTATGCACAATGCAATTCCTTCTCTTACTTCACTGACCTACACTCTTCCATTTAATATTAAATAGCTAGATAATGGCCAACAAAATTCTCCTCTCTAAGACCAAAATCTTCAACACTACCAAATCTCCAATACGTGAATTGAATTTAAAGCCATAATCTCCCTTTCTAGGCATCAACAAAAAACCCATAATCCACTTAAAAGAGTGATCATGAAGAATGCCACAAGAGACCAGAGTCACTCTTTATTTAATAAATACTAGTTTCTAAATGATTAATAATAAATCTGAACAAATAATAGATGTTATTTTAGGGGGTCTTCCTAACACATTCGTAAATCCTCCTAAACATATATACTCACTAGTTTTGCATGATTTATTCGGTTCGTATTGCTGTTCAAGCGTTTTCTTTTACCATCTGATAAGGTGGTGGGAAAGACAGAAAGATAAATATGAATGGTAGTTAGATAGTATACTAATATGAATACACTAGACAAATTAGAACATAGCAATAAGTGCAAAAATTATAGTATTTTTAATTAATAAAGGTGATTTACAGCATTCCCTGACAGCTACATACACGAATCATGTACATATCCCCCAAGTTCTCCCTCCAACCTAGATCATCTTTTTGGGTCCCTTTTTATCTAACTAGTCTATTCAAATAAGGTGCAAGTTAGACTATACCCTTCTAATTAAAAGAATAAAGATAATTACTCATACTAAATTCTTCAGCTGCTTCAAAATTTGCCCACATTAACACACTAGTTCCTCCACTAGAAAGCAAAAGATAGCATGTTCAAGTTCCAAAGCTATCTCCCTTGTCTGGTCAGCATTTTTCTTCCACATACCTTCCTCTCTAGAGAAGTCCTCTTGTATCATCATATCAATAGTGTTGGACTTTACTTCTTTCCATAACTCCAGCCTCCTACAAACCCTTTTGATTACCATGTTCCTCTCTTCTGAAGAGTTAACTTGGGTCTCTTCCTCCATGATGAGATCATAAACCAGCCTCTTAAGGTCTTCAGGGGTTTGCTGCATGTCATTAACTCTTGCATGGCAGAGGATTTCAAACACTTTTTCTCTCAGAACCTTTTCTTCACATGTTTCATCTTCAATAAATGTTTCATACTCCTCTTCTTGGTCTAACATTCTTTTCTCAAGCTCTATTGGATCTAACTCTGCAAGCTTCTCAAACCTTTGAAGCCTGTCTAATAGCTGCAGCTTAGTCCCTGAAAATTTAATACACAGCATAGTAAATTTAACACATGTTCCTTCAACAAATTTAGTAAAATTGCTTAAGCATTCATTGCAAACAGACCAGACTTCAGCTATTCAATTTTTGTTACAGAACTGAGAAGCTTTCTTATATATATGATTCTCTTACAAGTTCACAGGCGCATTCAAGTAGCTCAGCATGGATAACAGCAATAAGTACATGATGCATAAAAGCTTTAGCAGCTATTTGAAGCATAGAAAATTTACTATGCCTAAATTTGACTCAAACCGCTAGTACTCAATATACAAAAATGTTCTCCCCACTTTTTTACACATTAGATAAAATGCTGAATGATATGAAAGAGAAAAAAAAAAAAAAGAGAATCGACAAAGGAGACTTTTTTATAAAGTGTTAAAAAAATGATGTTATGACTTATGAATGTGCCGAAATGCAATTTGAACCATCTTCGGCAAATTAAATATAATTAAAGTTGAAAAGAGTTGGATTGCTGAAACCTGCAGCACATTGAATGGAAGTAACACAACTAAGACAGCTTTGCTGACACGAAAAAATTTGTGGGACATGCTGAAATTTATGCTGAGTATGTGTGGTTGTGAACAAAGAGTAGGCCAATTGAACATTCAATGCGAAATGCATGTTGGATGATGAGGTATTGTAATCTTTAAATGGAACCCACAAAGATAGGTGGCATTAGCATAAATCATATCAGAAATATAGCCCCCCGTTATGGTATTTTGTAACAGACAATCAACTTTGAAGAAGCGTGTACGATGGCATGTTGATGGAAAACGACCATACAACATAAAATGTTAGAAAATAAATCAAAGAAATATGTTAAACAATGACATACTTTGTACATTGGCATAGCTACAGTCCAAATCAAAACCATCCTCTCCATGGTCATTTTCATGCCCATCATCATCATCATCATCATCATCATCGAAGGGTGGGTCTAAAACGGATACTGGACTGCACTGTTCCTTATCTTCCTCTTCTTCCCCCGATTGGAATTTGTTGACGCCATCAGCACCATTCATTTCTTTGTCCTATGAAAATTCACAACCACCATAGTTAGAATATTGTCCTAATTGGGTAGTTAACATAATTCACTAATCATTCTTGTAATGTCCATGGATTTAGACTCAACACTTACTTCATAATTGGGTGGTGGTTGTTGACTTTTACAAAAATTGGGTCTTTTTTGTTTACACTACCCACACCACTATACAAAGGAGAAACTAATTTTCTAGAAAACCGAATGCCAGGGTCCAATAATTCCATGAGAACAAACAAAACCACGATTCGTCTTTTTTTAAAGAAAATTATTTACTGAATAGCCCCAAAAAGTAAAAAAGAAAATTGAAAAGATTGCATGGCAGACACCTGAACGAAAAATACAACTAACATAATCGACGAAAAACCAAAAGCCTTTAAACGAATTGACCTACGTGACCCTCTCCTAGACGAATCTTTAACAAATTTGGGAAAAGTGGAAGGGTAAAATCGTCATTGTAAAGCGAAATTCCGGCCAAATTTCCAGACCCCGAATCCGGATCTTATTTGCCGACAAAAAACACCCCAGGCAACTATCGCGGTTAACTCACGAGCTCAACTCGGTGCTCCAACTCACCACAGTACCGAGTCAAACCACCGAGTTGAACCTGCTGGCATTAATAACCAGCTGAATTTACTATTTTGAGAAATTTAGAATTTAATTAAAATCTACATGTTGACATCTAATCGCATATTTATACTATGTTGTACGAATATATTATTAAGCTGGTATTTTAGGGTTTAGGGTTATTTTGTATTTAAGTGTTATTATTTTTTTTTTTTGTAAATTAAAAAATATAAGTGCATAAATTCCCTAATAATTTCTGGTATTTTATGGGACACATAAAGTGTAAGCATCTGACGCTGTAGGGCATTTATTTTAACACTCTTTGCACATTTATTTTATATTAATTAAAATTTTAAAAAAAATCGTAATTTCTAAATTTTAGTAACAAATGTTAAAAGAATTAAGACAGCATTGTAAACATTTCTCTTATGCAAAAAGTTGAAAAATAATATATGTTACTAATGTAAAAAAAATTACGTATATTATTAATGATAATTATCATGTATAATAAATTTATTAATTTATTAATTCAATACATTTGTAATTAAGTGATGTTATAAAAAGTAACAGCTAGCAGTAGTACACATATAAATTAGAGTGGTAAATGGTATATAGCAAGTACATAAAAAATAATAATAATAATAATAAAAATAGTAATATGTTTGGGTAGGGAGAAACCTGTGGTGTGTGGCGAGTGGGAGACGGCGGCGACGGGGAGAAATCCGGAGTGTGAGGGGCGGAGTAGTCGGGGCTCCGTTGGGGGGAGAAGCGGAAAGGGGTGTGACAGAAGAAGGTGTGATGATGAAAAGAAAGGTTGTGAGAGTTGTTTTGTTTATGTTTGTTGAGAAAGTGAATGTCTTCGAGGGAGTCGTCAGTGCTAGAAGTTTCCAAGTCGTTGCTCTCCGACCAGACGGCGCTGCTGGGCCTGGCATTGCAAGAGCACGTGAGCCCGACCTCACAGGAAGGCTCCACCACGCGGGCCTCTATTTCCCTCTTGCGGGCGGTGAGTTTCTTGAAGAGCGAGCCGAAGAGGCCGAGGCGGAAGGCCCTGTTGGGCTTGGACTTGGGCTTGTGGATTCTGAGCGCGGCCTCCAGGAGGAGCGTGGCGGTCTTGGCGTTGGAGGGCCTGAGGGGAGCGTTGAGCGGGGATTTGGTGGCGCTGTGGAGGGAGAGGAGGCATTTGTTGAAGCCCAGGTTTTTGTTTTTGTTTTTGTTTTTGTTAGTGAGAGTGGAAGGGCTTTTGAGATGGGTGCGTCGCTCGGAAATGTAGTGCTTTAGAAGGAAGGGCTCTTGCTCCTCCTGTAGCAGCTCTCGTAAGTGTTTCTCAGCCATGGTGAGGTGATACACGAGGACGCTCAAGAAGTGCCTTTTAAGAGAGAGAGAGAGAGAGAGAGTGGTGATTCAAATCTAGAGGGGTTCGAATAACGAGGTCATGAAGGAGCCACTTATAATTAAATAATAATGGAAGGGGGAGGGAGCTATACAACACTGTTCAGAGTTCCATTTTTTTTTTTTTAAATATAAATAATGAAGAAAATGGCTGCAAATGCAAATGGTAGGTGTGTTGTGTCCTATAGTGTAAGACTCTCACTGTAGGAGGAGGCTTCTTGTCGTCGCTACACGTTTAACGAAATTTTTACTTAAATAATATTTTTTTTAAAAAAAATTACAAAAATATCAACTGTGCAGGTTTATTTACCAATGTAGAACTGTTTACTGTTCATGCTCAGAATTCGGTTCCCGGGGAACCGAATTCTGAGCTTCAAAATCTTATTTTTTTTGTTTTTTCAACTCAGAATTCGGTTCCCGGGGAACCGAATTCTGAGTTGGTTTTAAATTTTTTTTTTTTTTTCGTGTATGGGGCAAATGTGGGCTGATCTGGGAAGCGGAACGGTCCGTTCCAAAAGCAGAACGGGCCGTTCTGCTTAAAAAAACAGAGTGCAAATTCTGAATGTGAAACGGCCCGTTCCAAAAGCAGAACGGCCCGTTCTGCTTAAAGAATTTGCACTCTGTTTCTTTAAGCAGAACGGCCCGTTCTGCTTTTGGAACGGGCCGTTCCGCTTCCCAGATCAGCCCACATTTGCCCCATACACGAAAAAAAAAAAAAAATTTAAAACCAACTCAGAATTCGGTTCCCCGGGAACCGAATTCTGAGTTGAAAAAACAAAAAAAATTACATTTTGATGCTCAGAATTCGGTTCCCGGGGAACCGAATTCTGAGCTTGAACAGTAAATGGTTCTATCTTGGTAAATAATCCTGCACAGTGATCATTCTTGTAATTTTTTTTAAAAAAAATATTATTTCAGAAAAAAATTCGTGTTTAACGCGGAAGTAAAATATTCTATTATATATTACCATTTATGATTTTTTTTAAGATACAAAACATTATAAAAATGGTTACTAGAATAATGAATTTGAACCAGTTTTAATTTAATCATAATTTAGAGAGTCTTGATGTTGCATATAAGTAAAAACAAATATAATAATATTATAGAAAAGTAGAATCAATTATTTATCGCGTTGTCTTCATCAAATAAAATTTAATTATTTATCGTTATAAAGCCAATTCAAATAGGACATACTGGGCCAGTAAGTAACTAATACAAAGGTTACTAGCATCATAGGTACACCCTCTCATCTTTTTGTCAGAGACACTCAGCTACATTTTAAGTGTCCTCATTCTTCCTACCAGGGTCCAGAGGTTTGGTCTGATTCAAAGTTGCCTAATAATATAACATTTTCGCCTAAATTTACCTGTGATTAAAATTAAATTAATTAATTAAATACTGTGTATATTTAGCAAGTATTTTTAATTACTTTCTAACTTTTTTACTTATTAAAAATGTATTTGATCTTATTACCAATGTTTGATAAACAAGCTTTTTCTAATGGCTTCTAGTATTATTTTTAGACACTACTTCAAATATATATATATATGCTTGTATTTTCATTTTTTAACCTAAAAATATTTATTAAATTTCTTTATTAACTCTTTCTATATAAAACACTGTTTGTTTTAATTATTACATTATTTTGAATATTTATTTTATTACTTTACTATTATATTTCAGGATATTGATAATGATATATGATAGGTTTATTTTATTTTCTCCTTAAAATTATTTTTTTTTGAATATTTTTATGTTGTATGGATTATTTTAACCATTATACTATTGACATATTTATCTTGTTATTTTAAATTTATACTTTAGAACATTTCAACCATTACAGTAATCAAGTTAATGAAAGTTTAATCTCTATTTAAGTGTATGTTAATTTATAATATTTTAAACATAGTTTGAAATATTTTAAGATATAATATAATATTGATATTAGATTTCATATTATGAAAAATATATGATAACCAAAATTTAAAAATATGTAATTAAATAATTGATTTATGGAAAAACTATACAAGAGTTTAAAATTAGTAAAAAAAAATTATAATGACCCCCAAACTATTTTTAATCTATAAAATTAAATTAAATTTTATTTTAAAAAACACATAAATATTTTTTTTCTGTTACTTTACATTTATTAGTTAATTTAACTCATAATTTTACCGAACATTAACAATTTAATAAACTAACTTAACAACTTTCAGATTCCAACCATCAAGTTTTAGCTACAAATTAACTTTTCATGTTTCAGCTAACTTGACAAAGATAATCAATAATAACTGAAGTTAACTATTTATATGTTTTAATGCAAACTTATTATCATACTTTGATATTGCTTGTGTACACACTCTCTGAACCCCTTCCCACTCCTCATTGATGAAAACTTTTATCCGGAATTGTCTCAATTTGGTAAATATTTGTTAATTTATAAGTTAAATAAAAATTAAAAAAAAAACTATGCATATCATATGATTAATGATAATGTATGTTCATTATATTATAATGGATCTCTGGTATGAAAGAGTCCACTTTTTTTTTAATAACGAGTGTTCTGATTAATATTCTAAAAGGTATTTTAAGCATTCATTTGTTTTTTTAATTTTAATGTTTATGTTGCGACAATTGGGGTAATTATTGCATTATTAGGATTATTATTAGTATGTGGTGACCGAGAAACAGAACAAGGAGTCACTTCACAGTAGTTGTGTTGTGAGAGAGACCCGGTTCTGGTTCTGGTTCTGTTGTTGCCTCTTCTGTCCTGTCTCTGAACCCAAACCCTGGTTTTCAGTTTTTACCTTTCCATGCCTCTCACTTCTTTTCTTTCTATTTTAATTTGTGCACGATTTTCCGTTCTTTCAAGTTTCAAGTATCTTTTTTTCTTATTATTATTTTTATTACTTTTCTAACATGTTTTCTGCTTCCATTTGTAATATTGAATGGATGTTTGGATTGGATTTTAAAACTTGATTTTACACTCTCTCTTCACGTTGAAGATGGATTTTACGTGAAAATAAAAATTTTTTGCTTCAACTAAACGTGAAATTTCACGTTTGCGTTGAAACCCAAACATGCACCGAGCTGACCAGGGAAATGGGAATTGCTACACCAGCAATTGGCTCCTTTTAGTTTTTTTTTTTTTCAACTTGATTAATATGTTAATTAAATAACCAATAATTTTCTTTTGATCGTATTTTTTAGTAAAATTAATTCTTTTTATCTTGAAGTAGAGGAGAAGGGAGAATGTCTAAAAATTAATTAATTAATTAAATTGTTTACATAGAGAAAAGTGAGAAAATAATATATAAAAAAGAAAGTGGATGTATGTTGAATAGTCACATTTACTCAATAATATATTTATATAACACAATAGAAAGATAAATACTTTATTTATTTTCTATTATAAGAAAAAAAATACATATTTTTTCTCTTAAATATAAAAAAGATCAATTATTTTTATATTATTTAATGATATATATATTCAATAAATTATCCACCTCTTATGCGCAATTTTTAAATTACACTACTTTTTGTTACATTTATAGTAAGAATAATTTTAAAAAAATATATATAAAATTAATAAATTTTAATAAAAATAACTAAATTTTTTAATACATGTAAAATCAATTTTTTAAAACTTATAATAGAGAAGAAATGAAGTATATGATTTAACTATTTAATGGGTTAAACACTTTATTTTTCCTTTTTTCCCCCACAAATCTCTTCAAATGTAGGGAGATTTATATTAAACTAGGATCTTACATCTTTTCTCTCTTCTTTCACTTTTTTAGATATGGGTTCTCTGATAGGGGATCTTTCTGTGGCTCTCTCTATCATCTTTATCTCTCTCAATTTATTTCTTGTACTTTCATCTTTTGTTTTCTTTCTCATTTTTATATATATACTCCCTAGTTTAATTTTTCTATGTACTAGAGGCAAGAGGGCCGCAGGCGATCCATTCACCACTTTTCTCATTTTCTTAAATAATTAAAAACTGTATTATCTCTCCAATTTCTATTTTACTTACTTCTTTCCCTTTAAAATTGTCCTCAAATAAACTTTTAAGGATGCTTATGAGTATGGGCACTCATGAACCTAAATTAACCCAACTCAATTCAAACAAGTTGGGTCAATTTTTTAATCTCAAATCCAAACTAATCAATCTTTTATTTTTCAAGCTGGATTCTGTGTTTTGGCATTTAAAACCTTTGACAGATCTATGAGCAACGGTGTGGTGGCATATTTCTTAATGTAATATATATATATACACACTGTATTTTATTATTTTCACCCAAATAATGTATATTTTAATATTATAAAAAGTTAAGTTATTAAATCATATTGCATCTACTAGCTTATATAGGGGATATTTTTGATAATATTAAAAATAAAAAATTATCCAAATGTCTTTTTTTATATTTATTTATAAATAATAATGTACAACTCTTTCTTATGAAACTGGTCCTATGAAAATAAAATGTTAAATTTGATCGCAATTTTATATTTATGTCAAAAATTTAATGCTACAAATTTATGCACATAAATAATCTCTTCGTTACTTACAATTTCAATTTTTTTCACAACTTAAAACCCAACCCAAATCATTGAAAAAATTAAAATTTTAATATATACTTACTTTAAGAGTAAGTCTATTTAAATTTATTTACTCAATAACTCATGTTTTACATTAAATTTTAATTATTTAATTGTTAAATTAAAATTTTTTAATGCATAGATCAAATTTAAAAATTTTAAAATAATTTAAAAATTATTTGATACTTCATTATATAAATTTAAATCAACGTATAAAATATTTGTATAATTATTCGTCAACTTGAATTAATGAAACAATGTATTAAATAGTTTTTAATTTTTTTTAATATTTACAAACTTCATCTATGCATTAAGAACTTTTAATTTAATGATTGATCATTAAATTTTAATGTAAAATATAAGTTATTGAATAAAATATATTTAGGTTGACTTACTCTTGAATCCACACATATATATAGGGATCCACTTACTCTAATAATAACT